AGCTCATTGGTTCTGCCTTCCATCTCTTCTGTTCTACTCCTTTGCCCTTTCAGAGTATTGTCTATTTCTGATATTCTAATTTCAATCATTTAGACCTCTTTCTGTAGGATTTTAATTGTTTCCAATGCTGTATCTATCTTATTTGATTGTTCCTATAGCACTTTCCTGACTTCTTCTTTATTTTTCTCAACTTCATTGTAAAGTGTTTTGAAACATTTTATAATCATTTTTCTGAATTCCTTCTCAGGTGTTTCCAAGGCCTGCCCTTCTTCCAAAATGTAGTCCAAGTCTGTCTACCTCTAGGTCATTTTATCATGTTTCGGGACATGTGCTGATATGGTCATCTGCTTTTGCTTCTTGGACATGTTTACTAGTTATCGGTGGCCTTAATACTCAATTGAGTATTGCTTTGGTATTTTTCATGCTGATTGCTTCTAGGTAGATGTGATGAGGATGTGGGCTTCCCTTTTCACTCTTCTTATTGCTTAACTCAGAGTAACTTTCACAGGTGTTGTCTGCCTCCCTGGCATATGGCACTGGTATTGGTTCTTGCCTGGGTTTTGGTGTTTTATAGAGTGTGGTTGTAGCTTGACTATATGGCAGCAGTGGCTGTCTCTTCTTGGGTAATATAGGGAGATAAAGAGTCCCCCAAAGGTAAAAGAGGGAGCATACAACAGCAAAACAGTACCAGCAAAAAAAAAAAAGAAAAGAAAAAAAGTACCAAAAAAGCCACAACAACAACAAAAAGACAAAACTAAACTGAATACTGTAGTCTGTAATAACAGAAAAGGAAGAGGAGGGAAAGAGAAAAAAAAAAAATCTGTAGCCTAATATGAGTATGACTTTAATATCCTCTCTTCAGCTTCTTGCCTTCAAAGCTGCCTGAGAGATTTCAAGATGCCACTGTTGGCTGTTATGCTGTACCTCAGGATTTAATTTAATTTTCGGCCTGTTTTGTTTTTGAACTCTCTTTCCCTGTCTATACTCCTGTCCTGGTCTTTCCTGTATTTAAAACAAACAAACAAACAAACAAAAAACAGTTCAAGATCAGCTCTTGGGCTGAGAGTATCTACGCACATGTGTGGCAGAAGAGCCCACTAGTGGTGAGGGTGGGGGGTGTCCACTTGCTCAAGCACCCCCTCTAGTCACCAGAATGGAGGTGCGCAAACAGTGGGGCGAGGGGCAATGAACAGATACCAAAAAATAAAATAAAATAACAAAGCAAAACCGACAAAGTGTATTGTTCACCTTTGCTCTGAGATTCCCACAGCATTTTTCCATGGTGTGTCTGCTCCCCTGCTTGGTCTTGCTGTTTGGCTTCACCCAAGTTGTCAGATTGGGGCCTGGCAGATTCAAAAGTATGCGATTTCTTACTTTTGCTACAAGTAAATTCCACTAGCTAAAAGCCTTCAAACCTTTTAAATATTCCTGTCTCTGTGGTTCTGAATTTTGGAGGTCTGCCCTGGATCTGCTTTGCCTGGTATTCTGTGGCATTGCTGATAGCGAACTTCACTGACCTCCACCCTAGCCTCCATCAAGCCCTGCCTCTCCAAAACTGAGCCACTCACTTTTGTTTCTTCATGTGAACTGATATTGTCTGTTGTCTCAGAAGCATTGTAGTATCCTTGCATATGAATTTAATTAATGATTGTATGTTGGTATAGTCTTAGATTCTCACCAACTGCCTCCTGGTGGATGTAATTAGGGAATAGAAGCATGTGTCCAGTTCTCTGTTCACCGTTCACACCGACCTTATGGTTCAGCACAATAACCCGTAGCACCACACTAGGACTCCAACCTACCAATTGTTGTTGTATGTTGTTGTTAAGTGCCGTCAAGCTGGTTCTGACCCATAGTGACCCTGTATAGGGTTTTCAAGGAGCAGCTGGTGAGCTTGAACCATCAACTTTGTGGTTCAAACTGACTTTGCAGTCCAGTGCATTAACCCTCAGTGCCACACCAGGATTCCAACCTACCAATTAGTAAGGAGAAAATGTACCCTTATAAACGTAGTCATTTAGTTATAAAACTTAACATAAATTGGAGTAGGACTTCCTGTTACTATGTATTGACAGATACAATACCAGTATATTCCTTGTGTGGTGCTGTGGGTTAATGTGCCAGACCACAAAGTCATTTGAACTGCAAGGTCAGTGGTTCAAACTCACCAGCTGCTCCTTGGAAACCCTATACAGGGTCACTATGGGTCAGAATCGACTCAAAATCACTTAACAACAACAATAATCACCTATGAAATGGTCTTGCCAAGTGTTTAACCTGAATTTAATCCTTAGTATTAATACGAGCACTCTGACCATAACATCACCAAACATCTCAAAACCTAGGTGGAAACAACTTTTTCTTTTTTAAAGATAAGAGTAAACAAAGATAGCTCTGGACTCATGGAAAAAGACAGACTGGGTGCTGGTGGCCAGGAGGCAGGCTTATAGACATTAATGTACCCCTTGGTTGTTTAAATGATTATATATTCCTGAGCGTTTCTGCATACATTATGAACCCCAAAACAAACAAACAAACAAAAAGCCAGAGGGAATGGAAGCAAATACTTTTGAATGATGATGCATGGAGGCGACTGTAATCATTGCAATGAAATGATGGTGTAAAGCTGATGTTCTCCCATGTAAACTATTACTCAGTTCACAACAAACCCTTAAAAAAAAAAAAAAAAAAAATTACAACTGGGACAGAGCTGCCTCCTCACAGTAGAAAACAAAAAAGAGTAAGAGAATTTTTTCCCCCTAAAAATCCTATAGGAAGAAAAATGTTCACTTCTCACTTTCTCACCCTCATCTTTGGTATCACCATTTTGTGCATGCAGTACTACTGAGTACTATATATCTGGGTCTGGCTGAAGTAAAAATAAATCAGGAAGATGGTTTCCAATTACACTTGAATTTTAATACCAAAAAAAAAAAAACAAAGTTAGTAAGAGCTAGGTGTGGGAAAGGAAACGTGGAGTGTTGGGATCCTAGATAGCAGTGTTTACAGAGGCCAGTCTAGTCTCCAGGGGGGGTCCTTAAGGAGGGCTGTTGGCTGGCTCAGACTGAAGGTGTGCTGAAGGGGCCTGGGGATGGGAAGAAGCCTATATAAAGGTTAATGATCATGTGTTTTGCTCAGATTGATTGGTGGGGACAAGCAATTCAGCTAGTCATGTATGAAGCAAAGAACGAGAATTTGGAAGGTCTGTGCCTTATTTGCTCTGTATGATAAGCACTGGACTGCTAACTGCAAGGTCAGCTTTGGAAATCCTACACCAGGTCGCTGTGTGTAGGAATCGACTGGATGGATCGATTTTCTTAGTGTTTTGTTTTATGCTGGCTTAAGGAGCTCTGGTGGCACTGTGGGTCAGGCATGGGGCTGCTAACTGCAAGGTTGGTGGTTCAAACCTGTGGGAGAAAGATGAGGCTTTCTGTCTCTGTAAAGGTTTACAGCCTTGGAACCTCTATGGGGGCAGTTCTACTCTGTCCTAAAGGGTCACCTAGTCAGAACCGACTCTATGGCAGTGGGTTTATGAGAAAGCTGATTCTTTGCATTGAACTGTTTTCTGGAACACAAAGGATGGGAATAGTAGGAAGAGTTCTTAACTATCAGGGATCAAGTAAAATTCAATACTGTCACACCACACAAGTATGTATGTATGTATGTAGAGAGAATAAACGTGTTAAAATGTTAGTAACAGAATCTAGATAGCGTTCACTGAAATCACGTTTTAATTTTTCAAAAGAACCTTCAGTATCTTCAAAATGAAAAGTTGAGAAAAAAATGACTCATCTTTACTTTCAAATAATTTCATTTTAGCTTTGTTTCAGCTAATCTTTCCTAGCATACTCTTTTTACTCAAGTAATTTTCCTAGAACAATTACTGAGTAAAAAATCATGCCACTTGGTATTACAATTTGTGACTTGTAACTTTGGCTCTCTCATTCAACTGGAAGTTCCTTAAGGTAAAGCCTGTATTTTAGAAATCACTGCATACAGCTTACTACAGTGAATTGCTCATTTTAGCCCATCTGTTGATGCTCTTAAGTCAAAGAACAATCACAAATAGGAGGCACAATCTACTTTAAATATTGGTTTGTAGTTTATACTGCATAAAATTCACTCAGCTTTCAAAAAACTTTACAATTGTTTTCAGAGGATGGTCACTGTACTGAGGGATTCAAACCCTTCACAATTTACATGTACGTATACGCTCGCTACTACTCCATGGCATGTGACAACAATACGGTAGCTCCAGAGGATAAGAACTGAAATGAAAACCACAAAGTGGGCATTTCGAGTCTATCAGCTGTTCTACGGAAGAAAGATGAGGCTTTCTGTTCCCAAAAAGATTACAACTTTGGAAACCCTATACAAGGTCCCTATGCGTTGGAACCACCCCCATGGCACTTAACAACAATATGTGCTTTAGAAGTAAAAAAGTTGGTACTTCAAGGTATTATAAAGAAATTTATACATATTGTATCACTAAATTTTACCATAAATGTTCTTGAAGGAAAATGTGTTCAATATAATTTATGAAAAACCAGTTGCTGTCTAACTGACTCCAATTTAAGGCCACCCATGAGTGTCAAACTCGAACTGTGTATTGCAGGGTTTTCAGAGGCTTACTTTTCAGAAGTGGGTTGCCAGGCCTTCTTTCTGAGGTGCCACTGGGTGGACTCCTGGACTCTATGACTTTACAGATGGCAAGAAAACACATGTAAAGAGATAAAGTAATTTATTCTAACATACAATCAATTTTCAATACTTGATTATTTCTCTTTTCAATGATGCATGTTTGTTTTCTATTTACAGAGTTGAACTATGTTATACAGGAATACTAAATAAACTCTTACATCAAGAAATGTCACTTGATGCATTAAAATTTTTTTTAAGTACTGTGCACTTTTAACTGCATTTTATGAAAATTCATAAATATTTCCAAGACTCAGTCTCCTTCTTGATATGAGTCCACTTAATAAATAAGAAATCACCATTTATTTTGCTGACTTAAGGTTTTCATCCAACAGTTCAGCCAAGGCCTCTTCATCTGCTGACTGAAGCAGTCTTTGAATGAGCTGATCCAGAGCCTTCTCACCACATAAAAAGCCCTGGTAAGGACAGAGTAACCATGAACATCAGATTACTAGAAGTAAATAAGAATGGAAAAGTAAACATTTACATCTTCCTTATATTGTCACTATAGACCATTAGGGTGATCTCAACACATCACAGCCCTATCTGACACGACAGAACAGCTCCATAGGGGTTTCTATGCTGTAATCTTTATGGGAGCAGATGGTCAGGTCTTTTCTCCCATGGTATGGCTGGTGGGACTGAACTACCAACCACTTGGTTATCAATTCAGCTCTTAACCATTGTGTCACCAGAACTTCTTCATTATCTAATGGCAACAAAGCACTGCTAATGTGGTAAACGAGTCAAAAAGAGCAAACGGAATTCTACTTTCTTAAACTGTTTATATTGAAATAGAACTAGCATTTTATTTTAAAATAAAATTTCTGGGATTTTAATTTTTTTGCAGTAACTCTTGAGATTTTTTGGAAACCTATCCGCAAAAACTCAATTACCATCTTGGGTCAAGATCATGATCATGTGAGATAATAACTGGTCAAACAGAACTCTATGACTGGAAGGGCATATGCCAGACCAAGAGATGAGTGTTAGGTGCTGCCAAGTAGTTCCCACTCGTAGCGACCCCTTATGTTGTTATTGCTAGGTGCCATTGAGTCTGTTCTGACTCATAGTGATCCTGTGCACAACAGAACGGAACATTGCCTGGTCCTGTGCACAACAGAACGGAACATTGCCTGGTCCTGTGCACAACAGAACGGAACATTGCCTGGTCCTGCATCATTCTCACAATTGTTGTTACACTTGAGCCCATTGCTGCTGGAACTATGCCAATCCATCTCATTGGGAATCTTCCTCTTTTTCACTGACCCTTCATCAAGAATAATGTCCTTCTCCAAGGACTGATCCTTCCTGATTACATATTGTAGATTGTTAATCAATCTTTCTCCAATCCTGATGGCACATTCTTCTTCAGACAATCCAGCTTCTCAGATGATTTGCTCAGCATACAGATTAAATGAGTATGATGGAAGAATACAACCCTGGCACACATCTTTCCTGATTTTAAATCATTCAGTATCCGCTTGTTCTGTTTGAACCACTGCCTCTTGGTCAGTGTACAGGTTCCCCATGAGCACAATGAAGTGTTCTGGAATACCCATTTGTCACAATGTTATCCATATATTGTCGTGATTCACACAGCCAAAAGCTTTTGCATATGACTTCTGGCAAGATGGCGGACAAGGCAGACATACTACACAGACCCATTATAACAAAGATATGAGAGACCAAATAAAACAGACACAGATGAAAATGCTGACACCCTGACACTCTGTCCACTTCTTTAACCTTTCTTCTGAATCCTGACGTTTAGAAGAAAGGTTAAAGAAGTGAACAGAGTGCTTGCTGGTAAGAGAAGCTGAGCAAAGACAGTGATAGAGGGAGATTTACTGGTGAACAGCTGGCCAGATGTGGCTAACAATCTTGTGAGGGAGACCTGGCAGACCAGTTTCACACAGGTGACGAGAAAGCTGCAATTCCTTCTTTCTCTACTATCTCCCCTGGTGACCATAGATGTGACCAGCTCCCACTCTTATTCACCTCAAACCCAAACCCTGCTCTCCAGGAATTTGGAGTCACATGGTTGGGAGCCAGGCCAGTGCAAGGTGGGAGCTGACTGTGCTGCTTTGGTGTCTTGATTCAGATGGTCATGGCTCTAGACCTACAAAACCGCAGAGCCACATGACAGCATTTAACCAATCACACTGCCCCCAGCTGCCCTGTGATCCTAACAGACACTGAAACCAGCTCCATCAAGGGTGCCCATGAACTACTTCCGGAATGAGTGCCCTGATCATAGATAACACTGAGGCCAACAGAAACTCCATTTAGGGCCGGGAACTCTGCTGTCATATCCCTTCTACAACCAGAGATTTCTTCCCTCTGGTTCCAACAACTGCACTGTTAATTTTTACAAATACAACAACTCAGCCCTGAAGACAAGAAGAAAAAAAGACCAAGATGCAGAGACAGAAAATGGAAAATTAAATTAAGTGAAAAAATAATGATATTTAGGTACCATCAACGTATTGACACAAAGACAGAGGAAAGCAAGAACACAGAAAGAAATTTAGACAAATTCAGGAAAACACTACAAGAACAAATAGACAAAATAAAAGAAAAATTTGTAACAACACAAAACCTACAATTAGAAAACAGACGATTAATACTAAAATTTCAGAAATGGAAAATATATTGAAAAGGCAAAGAAGAACATATAAAGCAATAGAAGTGAGATTGAGGATAAATCTCTAAATACTAGTATGCTAGAAGAACAATCAGAAAAAAGAATGAAAAAAATCAGAAGAATGCCAAAGAATTTAGTGGGACACCATGAAGAGGAACAATTTATGGGTGAATGGAATTCCAGAACAAGAAGAGACAGAAATTAAAGGAATTTTTAATGATCAGATCAACTTTACAAAAAATGCTAAAAGGTATTCCTTGGACTGAGAACCAACAGCAGCAAATAACAGCCTGGGATTATAATACATTACAACACCATCCAGAAATCAATCCACATCTAGAAGTTTTTAAAGTAAAACAAACCTACAGGACTGAAAATAGGGAACCTGAGATGTCAATGTATAATGAAGTCAACTACAAAGTGAAAAGAATAGTGTAGAAATAGAACTTCCAAATGGCAAGGAAGTCAAGTGGATTTCAAGATAAAACAGACTATTTTGAGCAAGGAAAAACATGTTTAATAAACTAGAGGGTAACTTCAAAGAAAAATTATACAACTGCAGAGCTAAATAAAAAAGGAAGAAGATCATAAAGATTTAGTACGCATTAATATAAAATATATGAAAATGAAAAGAAAACCACAAACAAAATGAATTCAGTAAAGAAAATTATGTGGAACAATGAACCAGTGGCACCACACATACACAAAAACACACAGAAAAATGATCAACAGTCAATTCATATCTATTGGTAATTGCACTGAATGTAAATGGATTAAGTATGCCACACAGAGAGCAGAATGAATAAGAAAACAAGATCCTTCAATATGCTGTCTATAAAAGACATATCAAAAAGATGGAGACAGCTTAAATACCTATCATCAGAAGAATGGTTAAACAAATTTTGATACATACATACAAAGGAATACTATAAATAATTAAAGAAAATTGATGAATCTCCAAACCACCTCACAACATGGTTGAACCTGGAGGATATTATTCTGAGTGAAATTAGTCAATCAATGTTGTGAAAAGTTCAGAAAAGGTTTTCTTGATAAACAATCTATTTGTAAAAACGGACAGTACAGTTGTTGGACCCAGAGAGGAGAAATCTCTGGGGAGCACCTGTGATCCAAGGAGCTCATGAGGAAGTTGTAGAAGGGATGTGACAGCAGTTTCTGGCCCTAGCTGGAGTTCTTATTGGCCTTAATGTGATCTTTGTTCCAGGCACTCAATCCGGAAGTAGTTTGTGATTTGAATGTCTGACAGGATCACAGGGAAGCTGGCAGCAGGGTGACTGGTTAAATGCTGGTCTGGTGGCTCTGTAGGTTTTGTAGGGCAGGAGTTGAGCCCACTTAAATCCAGGTATCAAAGTGGCACACCAAAGGGGAACAGCCGGCCCCCACCTCACACCATGCATGGCTCCCAACCACGGAAACTCCAAACTCCTGGAAAGCAGGGTATGCACTGTGAGTTGATGAGGGTGGGAGTCAGTCACAATTCTGGTCACCAGGGGAGAGTGAGGAAAAAAGAATCGCATTTTTCCAAACACTCATGTGAATCTGCCCTGCCAGGTCCTCCCTCTGCTGCCAAAGCTGCTCATGAGATGCCAATGAATGAACACTTACTGAAGAGTCCACAGAAGATTCCTATCAAAATGGGGAAATGCAAAACAAAACTTCAAACTCTCATGGACTCTAGACTTTCTGGAACTATGGAAGGTGGATGAAACCTTGACATTATTGCCCTGAGATAATCTTCAACCAAAACTAATCCCTGAAGTCTTCTTAACTAGGAAAAAAGGTCTGCCTTGAGCATCATGCTCTTTTAATATAAGAACTATCTATATGGGATCAAATTGATAACAGCAAGTCAAAAAAGTAGACAGAAACCTTATGGAACAGTGAGTTTATGATAATGAGGGAGGTAAAACTCAGAAAAGGAGAATGTAATGATTAGGGTTTTGTGTCAACTGGACTAGGCCAGCAATTGGGATTTGCTTATTCCCATGTTAATGAAATCTAATACAGGCTTACTTAACTCTATGATGGGTGGCTATGATCAGCCAATCAACGTAGGGATTCTTCCTTGGGGGTGTGGACTACTCCCAATATAACAGGCATGTGTGAGGGACTCTATCTCTCCCGCTGGGAATCTGGGATTCTATAATTATAAACCATTTCCTTGTAATAAACTTCTCTCTTTATATACATAATATGTTTTACTGGTTTTGCTTCTTTAGACAACCTAAGACAGCAGGTGAAAACAGTTGCACAATTCAAAGAATATAATCACTGTCACCATGTTGTATGTGTATATTAGGAGCCCTGGTGGTACACTAGTTAGAGTGCTCAGCTGCCAGCTGAAAGATCAATGGTTCAAAATCACCAGGGGCTCTGCAGGAGAAGGACGTGGTAGTCTGCTTCCCTAAGACTTCTAGCCTTGGAAGCCCTGCGGGACAGCTGTATTCTGCCATAGATGGTTGTAGTGAATTGGAATAGACTTGATAGCAGTGGGTAGAAATTGTTGAACTGATGTATGTTTTGCTGTGTTTGTGCTCAGCAACAATAAAATACACAAAATTTAAAGGAAAAAAATTCTATTATAAAATTATTATTTTGATTTTGAACACAGAATGTGGCACCAAGAATAGGACAAAACTTTCTGTACCCTGCTTTTTTCACATATGGGAACACATTGCGTTTCATCTTCAGCAGAAGCAAAAGGAAAAATTTTTGTGACTTGTCATTCATGTGTAAATGTTAGTGGTTCCAGTTACAAGGGATTTCATTAGGTTGCTGTACAGATCTTCTTGACATGGTCTTCCTTCAATAGCAAAATTGTAACGGCTGAATTTAATGCACACAAGTTATGTCAGACAGCCTTCTGAGAAACTCCCTGGTTTACACACCTTGTATAATTTTTTCCACTGGCAAAATCTGTGACTATAATATGGGGCATCAGTCCCATGATTAGGTGACCGATCAGTTGCTTCTGAGTTAATCAAAAGAGATATTATCCAATGGGTCTGAGACCTTTCTACAAGGAGAGATCTAAAGCACGAGAAGGCATTTGGAAGAAGCCACATGATAAACCACATGACAGCTTAGCGCTGCCCCAGCTGACCACAAGCAAGAGAAAGAGGACCTCAATCCTACAACCCCAAAACAAACAAAAGTTCCACTGCCATTGAGCCAATTCCGACTCACAGTGACCTGACAGGACAGAGAAGACCTGCTCCACTGGGTTTCTGAGACTGTGCAACTTTACGGGAGCAGACAGTCTCCTTCAGAGAAGTCAGTGGCTTTGAACTGCAGACCTTGCAGTTAGAAGCCCAACACTTAACCCACTACACCACCAGGGCTCCTCAAGGAAATGGAATTCTGTGGATAACCACATGAGGTTAGAATAGGATTCTGCTCACTGGGATGACACACAGTCTAGATACACATTTTAATTCTAGTGTTATGAGACCTATAAGGCTAAGCCAAATTTCTGACCATAGAAATGGAATACTTACAATTTGTGATAAAAAACTAAGAAAGTGGGAACACTGAATGGTTTAAAATTTAAAAAGGTATGTGACAAGGTTGTATTCTTTCACCATACTTATTCAACGTGTATGTTGTTGTTAGGTGCCATAGAGTCGGAACTGACTCATAGCGACCCCATGCACAGCAGAACGAAACAACGTCCGATCCTGGGCCAACCTCACCACCGCTGCCACACTTGAGTCCATCAATGATGCAACCTAGCCAATCCATCTCGTTAGAGGTCTTCCTCTTTTTCTCTGACCCTCCACCTTACCCAGCATGACATCCTTCTCCAACGATTGTTTCCTCCGGACAATATGTCCAAAG